CTGTTCCATCTGCTTTTCTTCAGGTATGTTGTGAAAGTAATGGCTGAAAAGGACAGCACATTTAGGTACGATTTTAAACATTTCCTTTGTGCTTTAACTGCACAGTTGCACTCAGTGTATTGTAACAGCATCTCATGTGCACACACTGCTAGGATTCCATGCCGTTTTCAAGGCATTAATGTTGCAAGATGGAGTATTGTTAGCCAAGAATCATTTTTTTGTGGTCTGATAGCATTCAGAAAGGAATAACAAAAGAGAAATTGGTGTGGGGTATATCCTGGTGAATTATTTTAGTCTTCCTCTGAGTGTACCCCCTTCCCTCCCTTTCCTATCCCTGTTAGATGTTAACCCCTTACTCCCTGCCTCCCCTCCCCCAAGTCAGTCACTAGGGTAATTTTACAGTTTTTTCTCTCAAAAGATAACAGTCTGGGGTTACACATAGTTTTTCTCTACTTGTCATATGTATTGGATTATCATCTCAATTGTATTATAAAACAGCCCAAAGAAGCAAGCAGTTGTGTTTACTGTAACTAGTGCTGCTTAACCCATCTGAGTTGTTACTGTGGAAAACGTATTTGCAAGGCAAGGATATTGTTGTTTTAAAAAGTTTAGGGCTGGGGTGTGCTTCCTGAGTATGAGTAGCTGATTGCTGGAAGAAGGAAAAAAAGCTAAAGACTAGATGGTATTATTTGGTTGTTAAATTGAGTATTTCTAATCAATTTCAGTCATCAGCTTTTTGCAATTAATACAGCATATTTTATGTTGGAATCTGTACACTTCTGCTTCTTCATGTTTCCTTTAATATGTATAGTTTTGTGCAATCACAAATCCACAGTGAAGGAGAATTTAGGAGGTTTTCTTAACCTTGCTATATGCTCTCTTCTTTCTTCATTAGTAGGTATTATGGTTACAGTTTTTTTGAGAGTATTGAAATATAATGCTAGACAAGTTCCTCAAGGTGTTCCTCTATTAAGATGTTCATCTTTTTTATATTAAAAAATCACCCTGATTCACCTTCCTGTCAGTGCTGTAGAGAAGAAAGGATTTCCCGTTAGGATAATTGCCATCTCTTTATATTTTTGAGCCTGAAGCTAGCTAGCAAATCATGGAAGCCTACTGTGAGAAAGACAATCCTATTTTAACAAATCCTTCTTACTTTTGTTCTTTCTAAGTGCTGATTCTATTATAATTGCACATTTAAGGGCTTTTTGTGTTTTATTCATCTCACGGTAGAATTTACATATAAACTTGTGTTTAAGCTAACATACATTCTTTCCGTGGTGCTTCAGAAGAGAAGAGATACTTGCTGTGGTTGCACTAATCTGGAGTTTCTGAGAGCAGAGTGGAATCAGAATTTCCAGTTTTCATGGCAGGATCAGCTTGTGTATTGTTCTGTGTATGTATGTAGGTGGAGATGTGAATGTGTGAGCTCCCATGTGCACATCGTGCTCTCGGCTTTCGTGATGGTGTAACATAAGTACACACAGCAGAGAGGAGCAAAGGGCTGAAGTGCTCAGAATGAAAGGGTTAATGCCATACCTAATCCCTGGGGATGGTGCCATGCTGGCATTTGTGAGCTCTGAGGTGGCTGACTACTTGCATTTTGGGATAAATCCCTTGGAAAGGGAAGGCGTTTCAGAGCAAGGTGTGATCTGTTCTCCTGGTAAGAGTGATTGATGAGGAATGAATAAATTGTTTAAAGAACTGAATAAATATCACCCTCCTCTGTAAGTCCAGGCACACTCTGTCTGGCACATATATACTCTAATGTGACACTTTACTCAGGTGCTTGAATTTGTTGGTAACAAAAAACATCCCCAAAAAACCAAATCAGAGTTTAATCACAACTGCTTCTGACAGAGTTTTTCTTTTACAGTGACACTTCAACGAAAATTTAAATAGATGCAAGGAATTACAATATTTTGCAAATAGGATGTATTGATTGAGTAGCTATGCAAAGGGTGACAGAGGCTGCTTGAGTGGAAGCAGGGGCCCTGACAGCAGGTTCTTTGCCAATTGGTGAGGTGAAATGGTCCACTGAATTGGATAACACAGAGCATACCATAGTGACTGATTAAATTGATTTGTCCATGGCTACTGCCTATCCTGCTACTGAGGCCCTTTACCCTATTTTCAAACTTTTTTCCCTTTTTTTTAACTGTTCGAAATAGATGTGATATTAAGGGAGAAAATAAATGTGCTGATGCATTCACAGCCATAAAATTCCATATCCTGAATTAAGACAAAAATTACAATTTCCAGAATGTCTGCACACTCCTATGCTGTACTGTTAGAATGCATTTCCCAGGAACAAGTACACTGCTAGAAACCAATGACAAAGATATAATAAACATAATTCTCTAATATAACCTAAATTACAATCAGTACCACATCTGTGTATCCTTAGATGTATTTATTGAAAGGGAAGAAAGTAAAACACTTAAAGATTTTTGCTGCTATTGTTTCATTTCTCTAATTGCAAGGCTTTATTTTGTTACTACTTTTTTCAGAAGGTGTTTAGAAAGCTGGTGGTGGAAGCAGCTGAATGCCAGTTAGGAAGACTGAATGCTGAACATACTGTCAAGTGAGGGTCACTAATTTGAAAATACCTGCAATGATTTGGCAAAAAGTAGGGATAATGTTTAATAACTTGAAAATTATTTTTTTAACATAGGAGAAAAAAGCTTGATGTTTTAGTCTTAGATCAGGATGTTTGGATTTCGCAATGTACTTAGTCATTTCCCTTCCTGTGCTAGGGAAATCAATACTAAGTGATAATGGGACTGGTCCATGTTATTTTCTTTGTGGTTCAGGGGAAGCTTTGTTAGACTGTGTTTGTCTTCATGAGTTAGTCTGTAGTATATGCAGACAGAGTAGTGTAAGCACAGTCTTCAAATTCCACTGAAGAATCACATCAAACTTCAGGGCAGTGGTGACATCAAAATGGAACCAGTTCACCTGAAATATGTTATTGCAGTTGTTGTAGAAGTGCAGAGTTCATTGTACTGGGCTTGGTTTCTTCTTACTCATTTTTAGGAAAGATACAACAGTAAATCACAATAATTTCTGAAAGGACAATGAAGTTCTGTTCATTATTTAACTTCTGTAAATTACTGGTTAGTCTTGTAGGACATGATGGCATGCAGCATGCCATGAGAAACTTGTGCTGTTTTTTTGTTTGTCTGTGGAAATGAAGATATGGTTGGTATCTTGCTGCTAGTGATGAAGAGATGTGAAGTGGGAGGTGCCAGGCATTGCTTCTTGGAGTGTAATTACAAATGTTGATATTTGCAGTCTTTTTTAAAAGTTACACAGGTTTTATCAATAGCTTTTCTTTGCAAGGTAAAGCAAATTCCATAGGTGAGACTTCAGTTATACATAAGCTTTGCTTGGATTAAACTTCTTGATATTGTATAAACTAGTAGGGACTACTAAATCCTAGGTGAAATAGTCAAATGGTGCTTTGTTACTTTTCAGGAATCTGAAAGTGTAACATATCTTTATGTGGGCTTGATCCAGAGCACATTACAGTATTTTGTTCATAGTTATAGTTAGTCTTTTTTTTAATCCTTAAGTTGACTCCACAGACATAAGTATTTGTGAAATAATTGTTTTTAATTGGTTGGTGGTTAAGGAAAAGAAAAAAAAAGGAAAAAAAGAAAAAAGAACCAACGAGGTTTAGTTCTTTCCAGTAATGTTTGATTATTAAAAATGAAATGTCTATGCATTCAGTGCAAGTTTTATAAAACAAAGAAAGAGAAACCATACAAAAGCAGCCAAAGTTGAAAACTCAGGGGTGCACATAAGGTCACCATGCCAAAGGCGTGTAATTATTTCTTTGTATCGTACGTTAGAATAATGTAATCCAATAACTGGTGTTCCTGGTGTGTGTTACAAAGGATTCCGTAAGGAATTGCTGGAGAGTTCTTCAGGACTCCCCCGGCTAGCAAGGTTAAATAGAAGAGGTTTTGTGGGCTTCAGCCATTTCTGAGCAGTGTGGGAGAAGCCGTGTCCGTGTGGCTGAAGCCGTGTCCGTGTGGCTGGAGGGGCCTCTCTGCACCCCTGGGCTCCGGGCAGCGCATCCCAGCAAAGCGGCACCGCGGCCACAGCCACGTGGGCTGGGAGTTCTAGGAGGAAACACACAAACACAGATTCATTTTATGCTGAGTTTATTTTGAGTCGAACCTCTAAGTGCCATTACAGACTCTGTGTCCCCACCGGCCTAGAGCTTTGGCCCGCCGTGCCTGGGCTGAGCCAGAGGAGCCGATGTGCTGGGCCCTGGGACACAGCCGGGCCGCGGGGCAGAGCCTGGCCCTGGGACAGAGCCGGGATCTCGGACAGAGCCGGACCCTAGGACAGTGCCGGGGTCTGGGACAGAGCCGGGCCTTGGGACAATTCCGTGTCCTGGGACAGAGCCGGGATCTCGGACAATGCCGGCCCCTGGGACAGAGCCGGGATCTCGGACAATGCCGGCCCCTGGGACAGAGCCGGGATCTCGGACAATGCCAGGCCCTGGGACAAAGCCGGGCCCTGGGACAGAGCCGGACCCTGGAACAGAGCCGGGGTCTGGGACAATGCCGGGCCCTGGGACAGAGCCGGTCCTTGGGACAATTCCGGGTCCTGGGACAATGCCGAGCCCTGGGACAGTGTCGGGCCCTGGGACAGAGCCGGTCCTGAGACAAAGCCGGACCCTGGGACAGAGCCGGGCGCTGGGGCAATTCCGGTCCAAGCTCGGGGCGGGCACCGCGCCCCTCCCCGGGTTCGCGTTTCCCCGGCTGCCGGCACCGCGTCCTTCGGGCCCCGGTTCCGGGAGCGGCCCAGCCGGAGCATCCCCGCTCGGCGCGGGATAGCGGGACCGGGTGCCGGCGCTCGCAGGGACAGCGGGGCGGCCATGGCTGGAGATCTGGTGCCCTCTAGTGGGGCCGCGCCCGGGCCCGCAAGGAACCTTCCCGCTGGACGCTGCCTCGCGTAACTCCATCTCTGTCTCTGTTTGGTTTTAGATGCTACAACTGCGGTGGCCTCGACCACCACGCTAAAGAATGTAGTCTACCTCCGCAGCCAAAGAAGTGCCATTACTGTCAGAGCATCATGCACATGGTGGCTAACTGCCCCCATAAAACTGTCTCGCAGCAGCCCGCTAGTTCTCAGGGAAGACACGAAGCCGAGCCGCAGCCTTCCACTTCTGCCTTGCTGAGAGAAGGGGGAGGATCGCACGGCTTCTCGTCTCCATCGTACTCTCAGGAAGGCAGGCCGGAGATGTCGGAGCGCTCGGGCAGGTCACCGCAGGAAGTGTCGTCGAGTAAGTTGTCTGCGTCGCCTGAAGAACCAAACAGAAAGGGGCCTTCAGTTCAGAAAAGGAAAAAAACTTAATGCATTTTTCATAATGTTCCGTTTTCTTTACCCTCTTGGGATGTCTACCTCATGCAAGTACAGGGGAAATAATTCATTATCAGTAGCTGACCTGGAATTTTAACTACTGTTGAGGAACTGTGAATGTTTTGTTGTTTTTTGTTGTTTTTTTTTTCTTTGACAGACAAATCACTCCAAACAAAATACATTTGAGCAGGGTGCATTATGTTTTACTTTCTGTGTGTATGTGTGAGTGTGCATGCATGTGTGTGTATGTGTACATATCTATAAATATATATTTTTCCATCAGACCATTCTCCAGATCCCACCAGACATTACTGTGAAGCAAAAGTCACAGTACCCACCCAATGTTCCTGAACTCATTCCTAGAAACTGTTTATTAACGTGTTCAGAAAGCAAACAAGAAAGCCCAATTTTTTGAAATTTCACTCAGAAACAAACCAAACAAGAACTGATAAACCACACAAAGAACTGAGATCAAGACTGTTACGTTTCTTGTGAACCAAAGGATACTTTCATATTTTAAAGCTGCCATATGGTACTAAAGATACTAAGACATCCCCCGTACCATCAATTTGAATTATTTCCTTTTTCATCTCCACAAAATATCAAAACCCTCCCTTCCCCATGCCAGTGCAGGGCAGTTTCATGACTCAAGACAACTCTCATTGCCACCACCCTTTGTTGGTGAGGAGTTTAAAGCTCCAGAAAAGACAATGAATGTGTAGTTTCTGTGATGGTTTCTCAAAACGTTTTGTTAAATTAATATGATTGTAACTGTAACTTAGATGTCTGTTGTGTAGGGGAGAATGTGTAAGTTGTTACCAAACAGATCCTTTTGAGTGGTGTCAGGATGCCATCCTGCTTAGCCATTTGTATACTGTGAGCATTTAGGGTACCTTGGTGGCAGTAGTAGCCGCAGCAGCAGCAATTTCTCTTGGTCCCAAGTAGTGTCCCTCAATTTGAAGGTTCTTCCCCCTTATTTCCTATTGAAATACCATGGAGAGAACTCTCTAGGGATTTTTATTGTTGTTGTTGTCTGTTTGGGTTTTCAAGAAAACAAAATGCAAAGCTAACGAGATCCTGGGCTGAATAGTTTCCTAAGACTAAAGGTTGATGGGCACTTGGGGTTGCTCAGCTGGCCTCCCTAGATGGTGATACAGCAGGGGGGCAGACCTGCAGATTTGCCAGAAGCCCTGGGCATCACCTGCTTCTGGTGAACTGGGGGCTGCAGCTGACCAGCCTTGGTGCAGAGTGCCCTAGGACCACACACTTCTGTGTGAAAGAGGAGGAAGATTGGTGGCCTCAGAGTGAGACTCCCTGGGCTGCAGGCCTTGCCCGGGGTTAATAAGAGTTGGAGCCTATCAAAACTTCAAGTCGCTTTCCATTTGTAACTTTTGAATTACCAAGTCATACGTAAGATAACGTACTCTGACAAATCCCATTGTGGATGTAAGTTAATTAGAGAAACCTGTATAATCCTTAACATTGGCAATAAACACAGGCTGTTAAAGCTTGAAAGTGTCGGGTAGGTTTAAGCTCGGATAATCAAACTAAAGAAACAGCCTGCATGAAAGGCTACAGCGAGCCAAAGTCCTACCCTGGTAACTCCTCTGCAGCCGAGGGTTACACCAGGTATGCAGCTGGCTCACTGCCTGGCCTTTCCCCTTCCCACTTGTCCTGCCACATGAGACTTTTACTGGTGCTGCTGCTGCTTCAGTGAACAGGTAGTCGTCATCAAACTCCTCAGTGAAGGGCACAATTTCGAGAGAGAATTATTTTGTGTGAATTCCTTGCCAGTGTTTGCAAGAATCTCAAGGTTTGTACTGAAGTTCTCAGTAATGCTAATGCAAAGCTTACCTTTGACGATATTGAATGTGATATATCTATAGAGAACGTCCTTGCCTTACGTAAGGATAGTAAACTTATTTAAATTATGTAGACAAATCAAAGTGGCATTGCTTAACCTTCTAGTCGGTGTAAAAACCAGGTTAAACAGCAAAGATGCAAAACTTAGGTCACTTTGAAAATTTAAACCAAAGTTCCTTATAGAAATAGGCAACTGTGGATTTGAAAACTGGTCATTCCCTGTTTATATGTAAGAAGTTCAGAGCTGAGACAAGGAAATGTTTTCAACATGTGGATTTTTGTAGGTGCTGTTTGAAATCACTGTGCGCACCAAAGTCAGACTGAACTGCTAAGAGCACATACCAAACCCTATCTTATTGTTGAAAGCTTAAGGTTTTATTTTTATATATTAGAATGTTATCACTGTTACATAACATACTCAGGACAAAGAACTTTGCTCAGGGAATATACCATGTAATGTTTTTTCTTTACAGAATAGTCTACAGACCTGCTTACTCAGAACAAACCAAATAGTCTTAGACCTTTTTATCTCTGTATAAGTATTATGTACTGATGTTAGTAACTACCTCTGAGTTGACGTAGACCTACGTTTCTGATAATCAGATCTCAGCATTTTGTATTATAAGTTCCTGTGAAATGATGAAGTGGTATTATGTACTGGTTGCTTATGTGAGCATTTGTGTCTTTATATTCACAGGGTCTGAGTTTTCAGAGATGCTGGGCAACCACAGCTCCCACTGACTTCCAGTTGGGGTTATGGTGCTTGGCTTTTCTAGGAGGGGAGGGATGGGGGATTGGGGTGGAGGGGGAAGAACAAAAACACACAAGCATCAAGCCCACTTTGTTTACATAGGTGACAATAAAATTATTATTCTGTTTACAGTAAAAGGCTACCTCATATCTACTGCATGAACACACCTTTGTGCTGCTGTGGCCTTAAAGGTGGCTGTTGATCTATGGTACATACTTTTTATCTGTACTGAATATGTGACTGTTAGTTCACCACTGCAGACGTTGTGGTAAATACTTGTTTAAGATGAAGCATCCATTTGAAATGATGAGACCTTTCCAAACATTTCTTTGAAAGTTTTTATTTTTCTGTCCAAAGGACTATGGGCACTGTTCATGGGAATGAATACAGCTCCAGAAGAGACAAAAACGTACATGCCTAAGTTAAACATATAGCAGCACAAGCTGCAGCAGGTAACTACTTAGCACTGGGCTGCAGTAGGAAAAAAAATCTAGTTACACCCTTCAATTGGCTGCTCCAAATAAGCAAAGAACCTTTTAAAGGAGGAGGCACAGACTGAGTTTGGGATTCTTCCTTCATGCCTAAGGACAAAATTAATATTCGGCAGCATTCGCTCAGGCTGGATCTCCCCCTATTCACCACCAGCCTGTCCTTGCCAGAGCGCTCCACAATAAAACTCATTTGAGTAGAAATAGTTCAAATATCTGCTCAGACAGATTTATTTTTCTCCTAACAATAGTGGAGATAAGGTTAAACCTGAAGCAAGAATCTCCCTCCCTCCCCTTCCCCCATCCCAAAATGCTCTATGTGATTTAATTGTAAGGGACATTGTGAGATATTTTTTACTCTTCCCCAAGGAGAGGTCACAGTATTTAATTACACGCTACAAAAGATAGGCCATGAGGAAGACTCTTGGAGGAAGAGCCAAATAACTTTTTGCTGCAGTTAACAGCAGATCTGGCATTGTAATACCATTTGCAATATTTTGCCTTTTGCCAGCTTTCAGGGAGTGCCAAACACCACATTTGGATCCTACCTCTTCCCGTTGCAGGCCACCTTTTTCAGCCATTTTATTCTGCACCAGTGTTATCCTGGAGTTCCTGCTTGGTTCCTGCTAACTTAGTTCTGTTAATAGAACCCCATTAAAAAAAAAAAAGTGCTTATAGATCTTGTACCATTCTTTGTAAGAAGAATTATGAAAGAACATGGGAAATTGCATGGAGTCTTAAATTTAATTTAATTAATTTATCTGTAAGAAATGTTTATCATAAAAAATATATATGTATTCCCCTGTGCTAGATATAACAGTAATTGGGAAGATGTGTACATGTGCAGATGCACTGATTTTAATTTCCTAGAAGTCTTAATGAGATTTGAGTATTGTTTTAGAAACAAGCAGAGCCTTGTTAAATGCATCGATCTTATTTTGTTTAGTTTTATCAACAGCCTCTTTAAGATCCAGTGGTTGTGTTACCCCTGTTACAACTGTTGACTGATAACAAGAGGTTGATCTATAAAGACACATTTCTTTTTTTGTATAAACCAGGGCTGTGTATCAGCAGCTGTGGCAGTATTTTTCTGAGAATGTTGAAAAGTAGCAAGGTATTTGCTACCATTGTCATTGAACCAAATGTATGAATATCTTTACAAAGGACAATGGTTTTGACTACCTCTTGGATTACTAAGTTAAGCAACAACTGTCTGACAAACATCACCAGACTGGCTTTAACTAGTATGTGTTGCTTGTGATAATAATAACAATAACCATACTAGAGACCAAAGTGAACACTGATTTCTATATGTCTTTAATACTGTGTCTTATCTAGTGTTTTTAAATTATCTCTGTAGTATAGATTACCTCATTGTCCATTTTGACTTGTATGTTGTTTACAAGGTGAAATAAAAGAAAAATCACTTGAATTTTATGTTGTAAGAAAAAAACCTTGAGTTGAAGTTTTGAAAGTCATTTCACCTGTTTACTGTCTTGAGGGACTAAAGCACTGATTGCCTTTCTACATATCATGTATTTTATATCCTCATTTCATGCCTAATGTCTTTTTTTTCCTGTCAGTCATGGATATTGTGAGGTTGAAAAGAATTACTTGATTAAAAATAAAACATATAACATTGGCATTTACAGTGAGCCTTTGAGATTTGCTTTATTTGCATGGTAAAACCACACTGCATGTCACTGAGGAGTTTTCTTTTGCACCTATGCTCACTTAGTTTTGGGATATTACCTTCAGAAAAAATAATTTGAGTTATATAAGTCTTTGCTGGGGGGAGGGAGGGAGAAATAAATTATTAATTCACACCTGAATCATACTTGCAGTGCTGCAGAAATTGTACCCCAAAACCTATTCAGCTGTTGAAATTAAACTGCAGGATTATAGCTTTTGGTACTTTTTCTCTGTGAGAATACACTGGACATTAAGGCTATCAGACATTTAGACATTTAGGTTATTATCTTGCCTGAAAAGCTTTTGGTATTTAAGCCTCATCCCATCTTTATTACTACTTCCATAATCTGTAAGCTTGTATATATCTATTTCATGGTAATTTGAACTGAATTGAAGAGGGGTTTCTTTTTAGAAAGGAAAGTGCTGTCATTTTTCATTACCTGGAAATTCCTTCGCTAAATTACATAAAGTGTTATTAGTGACTTGGATGGCATTAGCTCATCATTCTGTATTAAAATATTTGAGGACGTGTATATGCCAGCTCCAGTGCCTCTGTTTTAACACAGGGCTCTGCATGCAGTGATTAATGGCAAAATTTAACAACCTCTCCTAATACAAGGAAGAATTTTTTTTCTAATTGCACAAACACCTGCATGAAAGGGTGATTATCTACTACTCATCTAGTCACAGAAAACTTCCATTTACTTCCCCTTACCTCTCATACATGTCGACAAAAAAGAGTGAGCGATGAAGATGTGTCCCAATCACATGTCCAGTCACATCCAGTCATGTTCCCACCTCACTCCCAACCTGTAGCCAAGTGGTTTCATCACTCTCCTGAAATGTGGAAGAGGTGACTTGCATCCCCTTGGCCAAGATCCCACACGTGTCCCACTGCTGGTGTCAGTCCTGAGGATCAGTGAAGCTTCCTGTGAAACATCTGATGAGTGTTCTGTGAAGAGCACAGTTCACACCAGGTGCTTACATCAGCTCCTGGCCAGCCTTACTCCAGTGTCTCAGGGAATGGGAGGGGACACCTTGGGTGTGCCACCACCTAACTCTGGAACACCCTGCAAGGTGACACAGGCAGGAGGAAGCCACCTTGGGGAGCACTGAGCAGCTCTGGCCATGCTCCCACAGATGTGGGAAATCCTTGGAACAAGTGAAATGAAGAAACCTCCTCTCCAGCTGTGTCTAATGTTGACTGAGACCAAAGCACCTGCAAGAAGAGCAGGACCTAGTTCTTCCCACTTCATCTCCCAAATGAGCAGCCCTCCTTCCCAGAGCCACTAAAAGTCAGCATCTTTATCCTTTCCCAGGACAGTTTAGAGCTGTTCTCTTCATGTTATAGACAGGAAGCCTTGTCTTGTGCATAAGGCAAAGGCAGATCATCAGCAGTACCTAAATCCACTGCTGCAAGGCAAGGCCTCCCTTCCTAACCCTGCAGAGAAGTGATCACTGCCACACAGCATTACAACAACATTGCTCTGTGCCAACAAGAAAAAATCTTTGGGTTGAAACTTCTAATTTAATCAATAGAGTGACATCAAAATCACAGAAGCCTTTTGAAATAACAATAAAAGTAGTTTGTTTATTTTCTTCCCTGTTCAGTGGGTCCTGGGATGAATGCTTGCAAGCTATCTCCAGCCTTTCTGTAATCCTAAGTGCCAAAACAAATGTGGCCATTTTTGAAAGAATTGCATTTTTCTTACAATCTGTTGGGAGCAAGAGCTCCCACAAGCCATTACATTTACACAAGCTATTCATTTCTAAACTACTCCTAATTTATGGTAGACTCAGCATACCTATCTCCTTCCCTCAACACCAGTCAACTTTTCTCCAATAACAAAAATACCCCAGATGCAAGTAATTTCATGTACTTTCAGTTGTTTACATAATTAGCCCTCACACCTCCTGTATACTTGCCCAGGAGGACACTCTTTGGTGGACAGGAGGGAATTCATTCTGTGGATGAATATGTGATGTGAATTCTCCTGGTATTAGTGTAATTCAGGTGATGTCCCAATTAATTAATGTAAACATCATTTTGGCAGTGTTTCCAGTGTTGTCTGCTGCCTGCAATGGTGTTGACCTCTGGGATGAGCAGTCCCCTCAAGAGCATGTTGCTCTGCACCAGTTATTATTTTTTGCAGTCATTGGCCACTGGATGATTGCTGAGTAGCTGCCATCCAGCCCCAGGCACCTTTTCAGGCTGCTGGTGCTCAGTTAACATGCAGCTGGTCAATTTTTGTTTGCTGGCTGTTCAATATTTGGCCCTGGGCATCACTTGCTGCACAGCTCTTAGCCCAGATATTCAAGGCTGGAGCAGCCAAACAATTCATAAACCAACAAAGATGGACTGGTGGTGTTTCTAATGTTCTCCAGTCAGGAGAAGGCAAACCAGGCAGAAAGAATGACAAGCCCTGAGCTTAGGTATCCATCCAGGTTTAGATGTTTACAACCCATTTACCTCCAAATAATCCAGGATTCCAGGCCAGGAAGTAGCAGTTGTTTATCTAGTTTGACCTGCTGGACTTCCCAGGCTATTAAATTCAAGGCAGCTACGGGGCATTGAATTTTAGCACTCAGCTTTAGTTGGAGCCATGTTTGCTTGGGTGCTTTAAGCATATTTTCTAATAGGGCTTCAGGTCAGGCCTGAATGCTTTTGAGAAAAAAAGAGATGGTCTGCTCCATGACAGCTTGTTTTAATCACCTGCTGCTAACAAGTAGTGCCTCATTTTCCAGTTCCACTGGCTTCAACTTCCAGCTCTTTGTCCACTGTAGT